CATTCTCTCTCTGGAGCCCAGTGGTAACTCTATGAGCTACAGATCTGCTCTCCGAACCGCGATGAGTGAGTGTAGCCATAGAGGGCCGGTAAGACGGATCGAATGACCGTTCCTCAATGAGCTCTCTTTGCCAAGGCGATACAACTCGGCGGCGATCAACCTCTATCACTTCCTCTCGGTTGAACCTTTCCTGATGTGGATCGAAGGTCATGGCTTCGTTCTGTCTGATCTGCTCATGTCGCGGATCAACGTGAGTCGATCCTTCGTGATCCTCAACTCGACGAACATTTGGCGGCAAATTGTCCATCCTCCTTTCATCACGGTGGAGAGCTGACTGATTGTTCTCGTCCTGCTTGCCTTGATGTGCGATATTAGATTGAATACCTCCTTCACCGGCCGGAAGTGGACGCGGAACCGCCGGCATTTGCTGATGCTGCATTCCAGCTTTCAATTCTGCATTCTCTCTTTTGAGAGCTTCGATCAAGTTCATCAACTCCTCAAGCTTCGTTTGCTGGACAGCCTCCATCGGATTGGAGCTTTCACCTATCATTATTCCTGAACGGAGTAAAGGCATTAATCTCAAGTTCTTGAGTAGATCTGAGCTTCGTGAGCGCGAATTTTTCAGATCTGGACTCGAATTCTCCGAGTTATGCTTACGGTTGACGAGATCTGAATTCTCCGAATTCTAAATCCGTCAGATCCAGCCGCAATCGAACAACTCGTTGTTGCATAGATTTGAAGCCACTTCCGTCAAAGCAACAGAACTAAAATTCCTCCAGAATAGGTCACAATCTCTCAGATCTGGATCCAACTCCCAAAGATCGAGTTTCGTCTTCACGAATTGGTCTGAATCCACGCGATATTGATCAATGATCAATCAATCTTCAACGATTCCCACAGACGGCGCCAATTGAAGATGCAAGGAATTCATTTCCATTTTCTCTCTCTAGAATTCTTACACTTCAACAGAATGAATCTCCCTCCCCATTACTTCTCATATTTATAGGTATTTATAAACATTAATGGGTTGCTAGATCTGGGCCCGTTCCTCTGTGGGCTTTGGTCATCTTCGATGGGCTATTCGCGTTCGGCCTATATGACAGTATTTCTTTATGGGCTGGACCCAGCTGCTCGGACCGGATGCCATGTTCGCGGGTCATATTCGGCCCATATCACTTCTGGGCTCCTCATCATTAGACTTAGAAAGTTTGTGATTGTGTTGGTAAACAAAAGTTAGGATTTGTTTCGTTTGTAACTTTAAAAACAGATCTCAAAAATTCAGAGAATATAAAACTATTTTTAGAGAACTATAAAAGACAATTTTCTAAAAACAAAAACCTTTTTTATAACTGAATTTTTAGAAAATAGTTTTAAAAAAACTGAACCAAGTATAATTTCTTTTTTAACAATTTTTTATTCTGAGAAAACTGAAAATAAAAAACTGTACTCAACTTATAAATCAAGTAGACTCTCATAAGAGGTTGAATCAAAGCCGGAGAAAAAGATTACTATAATTTAGTGATTGATATGTTGACGAGAGTAAGCAATTAATTTGCACACAAATGTTTCTTGGCCATCCATCTTGATTACTGTTTTAAATTGAAAAGCCGTGTGAAGCTCTTCTAAATGCATTGATTTTTTTTTTTTTTTTTTTTTTTTTTTTAAGAAAATGAAAATATTTTTTATTTCTCCTTTTCTTTCTTTTTTTTAATTTAACCAATTGAAGTTTTTCTTTTTCTTTTTCTTTTCCCCCCTTTAGATGACTGGTCAACATAACTCTCTTTACATGTGGGCCTAATCTAAATTAGTATATAATTTATTTTACTCTTTTTAGGTTGACCAATTTAAGTTATTTAAAGGATAGGCAGAAGAATTTGAATAAATTTACCAAAAAATTAATTTACTCCCCCCATCTCTGTTTTTTTTTTTTTTTTTTTTTTTTTTTTTTTTTTTTTGAGAAAAATTCTTGATTTACATTTAAAGAACGTTTGCCTCTTCAAATTCTTTAATATGAAAATAGGGATTTTCATTTTTCAGATTCTAAACCATGGAATCTAGGTAATATTGGAATACTTTTAAGATTACGAAGGTGCACTAGTTCTAGAATAATTTATAAGAGTTGTAATGGGTTGGTCAAGTTGGAAATTGTTATTATTTTCATGATTATTCTCATTATCAACCAAGTTGCCAAGTGTGTGACAGTGATTAAGAGAATCAAATAAATTGCCAAGCAAATTTCTAGACTCAATCCTAACTAAATGATTAGTATGATCGCCATACCAAAATTTGCACAAATTATGATCGACATAATGTGCAATCTCATCATAAATGTGTTTGAACACCTAACTTGGTGCGAAAAACTTCTTGTTGCGACTTCTATAATGCTTCTAAAGAATGATTTGAAAATACTAAATTATTGACTCTTAAAAATACTAAATTGATTGACTCTTCTTTTTAACAAAATTAGTATTTTAATTTGCCCGAATTCTAATAATTCACTAAATCAAGAATTATACAAAACAAACACATTTCTGAAAAATAGAATTAATCCAAATATATAAAAACTTACACTTCAATTGAGATTCATAAAAAACAAGATAATATTGAAAGTTAATTCATTAAAATATTTCTCGAAAGATAAATTCATAAAATTGATAGAAATTCATAAAATTGATTGACTCTTCTTTTTAACAAAATTAGTATTTTAATTTGCCCAAATTTTAAGAATTCACTAAATCAAGAATTATACAAAACAAACACATTTCTGAAAAATATAATTAATCCAAATATATAAAAACTTACACTAAAACCATAAAAAAAGAAAATATACCAAAATTGGCTTTCCAAATTTGCGATGACTTATAAAATAATATAAAAAATTATTTTTATTTACGAAAATGTGTCCAACCATGATACCAAAAAGTGTCCACGATACGACGACTCCCCTCCCATTGAAGTATATGTGCTTCATAGCTTTCAAAGTCTTTTATACGTAGTGGCCAAAAAACTGTTCAAAACTTTCCTTCCAAATTTCAAATATGAAAGTTGTCATTCTTCCCAATCTAGAATTCTCGTCAACCGATCTTGACCCATGGATCTCTTTCTTCTTTTCTTTCCCTCGAAATCGATCAAATCTTTTCCAAGTCTCAATCCAAAGGCTATTGAATTTTGCAATCGACCAATACAACCGCTTAAACTTAGTACAAAAATAAATTTCCACGCATTAATACACAATTTTAATCACGTATCAATGCAGAAATAAATTAATTTTCCTAAAGGAGAATTACTTTCCAAAGCAATAGAGAGAACTCATTCTAGAAATGAAATAAAGACATAAAAGTAGCAGCAACATTTTTGTTTGTTTTTGAAATACACGTGATAAAAAACTTAGTACTTTTCAAAAAAGTTAATACTTATCAAAAAAACTGACATTTTTAGATATTCCATAAAAGTGATCATCATTTTCGGGATAAAATGAATATTAAAGTGATAAAATGTGAGCAAGTGGTATAATGAAGTGGCTTATGGAGCAATTTCAAGGAAGACCACTTCCTCTCTAGATGTAGCATGATGAAGTGGCTTATGGAGCAATTTCAAAACCGTTCCTCAATGATCTCTTATTACTACTCCACAACCAGCTTCTTTGGTCCCATCAAGATTTTTCTGAAATAACCCAAAAACATTTAACTTATACCAACCATCCGGTGGGGGTATCCGAAAACAGCTGATTACTTCATATGTTGATAGTCTCCGGACAACTCTCCAAAACATAAATTTGTTGCTTAAACAAATAATTATAAATCCCTTCTTTGTACAATCTAGAACTCCCTACAATAATATCTAAAACTCTACAAAACTCCTTACAAAACTCCATACTTCTCTACACTAATCCGGAAGACTCTAGAACTCTATTATACTCGAGTCTTCTCATGCCATTCAGACGCCTCCACAATGCTTGGGTGTCTCATGCGTGTCTTAACCTCCACGTAATTAGGCAGGGTGTGACATATGGCTAAATAAAATGCAAAATTCCAAAATGAATTAGATCTTCGACACAATTTCATGCTTGGAAGAATATGCTTTCATTATGGACTTCTATCTTAATTTTTTAAAACTAACAACGAAACCAAGAGTATGGAATTGATATCGGTAATATAAGCACTTTAAAGAGTTGTGTTATATTTTGTGTGGGGGTAGAAAGGGCATGTGTTCATAACAAGTCAGTATGGAGTGACTCGGATTCGAATGGATGTGGGTTTGTTGGGCTGTCAGAAAGGGCTGGGATGGCCGGTGTTGTCTTTTGGGGTTATCAGAAAGGGATGGGATGGCCAGTGTGGATTGTTTTTCTGATTTGGATTTCTTGGGGAATGATGGGATTCTTTCTGAACTCTCTTCATCGGTTCAGCCATCTTCGGTTGGTGAGGAGCTAGGTTGGATTTCCGAGCCAATTACGGGCAGGGTTGATGAATTGGGTGATTCTATGCTGGATGCATAGTTATTAAAAGCCTAAAGCGCACCAAGGCACTAGAGGTCACTTGGAGCTTAAGCGCACGGCGAGGCACGAGGTACACAGTGAGGCGCGAGCCTGAGTGATGTGAGGCGCACAAGTAAAATTTTAAAACCAATTCTTAGCAAAAATAACACAATTAAACAACGAACATCCAATAATAAAAACACTAAATTAATCTAAATATATATCACAATTAAACCAATAAAGTAACCAGTAAAATAGAACAATTAAACTAATAAAGCTATTTATTCATAAGAAATATTCAAAAGAAGCAAAACATAAATCAATTAACCATATATTATAAATTTATACTTGATGTCTTAAGCAAAAGCTATCATTTGACTCCAAATTTAGGGGTGGATGAGCCCTTGACTGTGGTGAGACCAGAGAGTGCGGTGGTGTTAGACTTAGATTGTGCTGATGAAGGAAAGGAGTGGGTGAATGATCACATATTGATGATGTTAGTGAACAGTTGGGGTTTCAATGGTAATTGGACCTAAAAAGAAATATATTTTTATTATTATTATCTCTGGAATAAGTGAATTACAAGAATAAATAGGAGGAAACCTTCACAATTAGGCTAACCAACTCCTTGACTCTAGAAAGTAAAACAGGAAACTAACAGAAATCTTGAATATTTGGATACTAATTATCCTCTTCTCTTTATTTGAAACTAACTGAATCAGCTAACTAAAGGATTGCACTCCAAGATCTTATCTGATTGCATATCTAGAATTTCCACACTCCCCCTCAAGTTGGGCAATATATATCAATCATTCCCAACTTGAAAAGAAGGATTTCAAAGCGATCTCGGTTAAGAGCCTTGGTGAGGATGTCTGCGGTTTGAAGACTTGAAGGAGTATATATCATCTTCATGACTCCCTGATCGATCTTTTCTTTGATGAAGTGCCTATCAATCTCAACATGTTTACTTCTGTCACAGTGAACTGGATTCTTAGCAATACTGACAGCAGGTTGGTTGTCACACAGCATCTTTATTAGACTTTCAGAAGCGATTTTCAGTTCTTCTAGGAGTCGTTTGAGCCACATTCCTTCACATATTCCGTGTGCCATAGCCCTGAATTCGGCCTCAGCATTGCTTCGAGCAACTACAGACTGCTTCTTGCTGCTCCATGTAACAAGGTTTCCCCACACGTAGGAACAATAGCCTAAGATGAAGACTTCGCTTCTTGCGAATCTGCTCTCCTCCAATGGTTGTCCTTCCTTCTGCCCAAATTTCTTGAATTGGAATGCCTCGATACACTGATGAATTCCTCCTTGATGAATACTCAAATCACATATGATGATTTCTAAAAAAAACCCTAGATTGAGCAGAGACTCCAATTTTTTTCTTACAAACAAGGATTTTCTCTCTGTAGCTGATTAGAGGCTTAAAATCATACCATAGACAGACTATAATGTCATACTTATAGCCACTATAGTTAACTCACTTGTTTTAGTAAATTGGATCGGGTAGATTCATTGTGCCAAAAAAAAAAAAAAAAGTTGAACGAATTTGGGACAACTATGAGATATTAGACAGAACTCTGTATTGTTTACATCTGGAGCACATGTGAATTTCAAGAAAGAGGTCAATCTGGAGAACTTAAAGGACAAAACTCGCATATGTAAGCTAAATTGATGAAACACTAATAGACCACAAGAGTGAAACATGTATGTGGTGATGATGACAGTGGACAGAAAGGGTATTAACTTTTGTTCAGGTGCCCTGTTTCTTAAGTTCTGTCACTTGCAGTTGAGTGAAGCGAGTGCACTCCAGAAACAGTGTCAAAGCTATTTATATCTAGCACTCTAACGTAAAATAAACATTATAAGGCCAAGTAGAACCAACTAATCACCATTTGTTGTTCTACTGTACTTTTTGCAACTCACAACTTTCAACCAATTGATCTGTATATATATACAAATATATTTTTTATGGCACTATTCGGTAACAATGGCAAGGCTATCTCCCCATACTGATATGTATGCATACATCCATAATTACACGGTAAATCCTATGGGACACCTCACCATTGAATTATATTGCAATCCTCGTTCTATCATCTGCATTTCTCATATTTTCGAGATGGATATCACAAATCATGTTTCACTTGGGGATTATCATTAATTAACTAAAAAGAAAGTTGAAATTTTCCTTTATACTCAATTCATTGAGATATTAATTATCAATATAATTTCACATATTCACACAATATCAGTTTATTCTATACTATAAAAGACGAATTCACGGGAATCATTAGACGCCTCACCACCCCCCTCCCCCCAGTTCTTCTTACGATTGAACTTTAAGCAACCAGAAGTGAACACTTAAATGTTATCCATTCTTCTGAATTATTTTGCACTCCTTGTAGAGGTAACTGTAATTGTCTCAATTATAATCTAAAACAGGAGAAAGTATCAGATTATTATTATTTTTTTGGTGGTGTGGGGGTGCGGTGCGGAGAGGACATTGACAGTACACATGTTATTTCAATTCCCATGGAATGATTCAGTAGCAAATTGCAATTAACCGTTTATTCAAATGCCTGAGTTTGTTTAACATCATTTCAAAAAATTCTACATTTCGGTAAGCCAAACCAAAAAAAGAAAAAAAAAAAAAGAAAAACATTTATTAACATTGAGCTAATACAAAGAACTCTATAACGTTAAATTATAGAGCTTGCTTTGCAATGATACCGTAGTAAAGAACTTGAGGGATTTGTTAACGATGGAGTAAAACCGGGATAATTTAAGCGCAAGTAGATTAGAGACTCGAGAGTATGAGAAAGTGCCTATTAAGGCCATATTTTCCCAAGAAATTAGCTAGTAATTATGGTGGTGTCCCAGCAAAAGAACAACAGGAGAAAGAAGGGGGGGGGGGGGGAGGATAGAGACAATTCTATACTGCTAAAAGAAACCCAATTGCGAAAACAAGTTACTCATATTATCTGTAGAAATAGAAGATAGATTGATAGCACCAAAGCAATGTTTAGTTCGATAAAGTTATTTATTTTTCACAGCACAATTCTATTCTGCTAATAAATGGGGAAATTTAAAATTTATTCTGTAATTCAGGAACTGGTGAGCCTACCTTATGATCAAGCTCTCTTTCCATATCTGTGTTTAAAAGGGTCTGATAACCCTCCCGACCACCCCAGAAAACATAATTTTCACCAACAGGAGAAAAAAGGAAGGGGGGGGGGGGGAATAGAGACAATTCTATACTGCTAAAAGAAACCCAATTGCGAAAACAAGTTACTCATATTATCTGTAGAAATAGATGATAGATTGATAGCACCAAAGCAATGTTTAGTTCGATAAAGTTATTTATTTTTCACAGTACAATTCTATTCTGCTAATAAATGGTGCATGACAAATTGAATATACAAGTACCGTTGAATCCAATTTTCTTCTTGAAGGCAACAGCAGCTTCCATAAACCCTGTAAGTGGATTAACCAGTTAATCAAATGTAAATTAAATTAAAGTAAAGAGAAAATAAAGAAGAACAATATTGAATATGTTAGACAACAAATCACATGAAAATAGGAAACCTTGCCATACGGTTATCTGCTTTCAAAAACAAATTTTGAAAAACAGTAATAATAAAGAGACAAGACAGTTCTCAATAATACCTGGGGAAATTTAAAATTTATTCTGTAATTCAGGAACTGGTGAGCCTACCTTATGATCAAGCTCTCTTTCCATATCTGTGTTTAAAAGGGTCTGATAACCCTCCCGACCACCCCAGAAAACATAATTTTCGCCCCCTAGATAATGCGTAACCTGTAGCATGTGCAAAATAGCAGACTTAGCATTTCATTGAATTATTGAGTTATGAATAAAAGAAACAACCCATCTTATAGGTTTAAAGGATGGATGTAAGCAAAAGTCACCCACCTCCATGGCTTTCTTGACTTGCACTACGGCAAACCCAAGAATTTTGTGAGCACAGTTATCATATTCAAGTAGCAAAATAGAAATAGAAATAACTACCTAGAAGCACCACGATGCATGTAACGAGGATGCAAAAACAACTGAGCTGTGCCCCACAAGGAACGAATTTTGGTCCCCTGTACAGTCACATAATTAATAATATATAATCGAGAATAGGAGCAGGATAAAAAACATTAGAATTGAACAAGCCAAGGTAATACTGTATAATATAATCAACATCTGCACTTAAACCATTAAAATAAAGAAAAATAAATTTGCACTTAAACCATTAAAGTAGGCAGTGAGAGCAGTAAATTTAGTTAAGGTGATTTAACTGGTGTTGATTTGTTTTTGTTTAATCAAAAGATCATGACAAGTAAACTAACACATCTGAGATAAAATATTTGATGAAGGAAGAAATTATCCACGGCTTAGATTCATATTCAAGCATGCAACAGAACATAATTGCTCAAGGAAATCAAATAATCCAGTCCATAGCCATTCGAGATGGGAAAAGACCCTATCCATTCTTTAGTCAGTTGAAGGCCAACAGTGATGTGATTAAAGCAAAGGATGCCAAATTTCTTCTACTTAATTCTATCTATCTATATGGCATGGGTGCCAAGCGCCGGGGTATGTCGCTTTAGAGTCTAAGCAAGAGGACAGACTAAGATATGGATTAAAAATAAATTGTACAGATAACAAACAAAAATATAAGACTGGTGAAAGAACAAATAAATAAGAGTACTCATGGTTAACGTAGAAGGCAAAAAACGTCATTTTGTTTATACTTCAAAAATTAATGGCATCCCATTTTAATTATTAATTCTCAAATGCCCAAGTCATGAAGTTATTCTTATGGGTAAGAATCCACTTCACATTACCTCATCTCGAGTCAAGGGGCAGATCAATAAGCTAAGAGCAATCATATGTAATTGAATTCCAAGTATTATAATAACAAGTTGTTTCATTCCGTCAAGTTTACAAAACAATAGAAAATGAACAGCAGTGACCAAGTGAATTTTCAAGGTCACTTGCCAAAACAAAATAAATTCAGCAAAAAGGAAAAATGGTGACAATTATTCAATGGTAATCATAAATTATAAAATTAACCAATATGTTTCAATTAATTAATAAAGGGTTCTGCTGACAAATTTCATTTTGAAAGACAAATCCCTAAAAAATAGTTGTTTGACCAACTGGGATCTCTTAAAGTTTTGTGTGGTTTATTTCGAGGTAGACAATGCTCCATGAAGATTGCTCAAACGCGCAGATTAGTCATCCAACACGCTGAAAAAATAATTGAAAATCAATAACAAAAAACAAGTGAACCTGATGCATTCCAACATATATTTTCGGGAGGCTGAACTTCCATGTCTAGCCAAAAAAAAATAGCTAAAGCAACCTACAATACAGAGTTCTGTCTATTATAAATGCATACATTTCATATTTAGCAATTAATCTTCAAATAACTTGCACATTGGCATCAAAAATAAATATTTAGCCCTTAATAAATTGTGCATAATGCAGTTCAAGAGGTGTAACATTTTTAAAAAGAGGGATGCACATTCTCAAATAAAGGGTCTCCATATCATGATACCAAAAGATATAAGAAAGTAAAAGTTTAAGTGTGTTAAAAATAAATTAAAAGCAGTACATGA